ATAAATTTTGGGAAAATAGAGAAATTAAAAAAAAGTATTTCTAATTTTTTTTACATACTGTCACCAGTGCAGTACAGCGTCATCATATAACTGGTGTGCTAGTGATCAGGGGCACTGACTGGTGACAGTATGTAAAAAAAAAAAAGCATTTTTAAAATAATTTTAAACATTTTATCTTTACAAAATATTTTTATTACATTTTATCTTTTTTTTTTTATTTTTTAACACATTCTTGATTTTAACATGATCTTTTTAACACACTCTACTACTCTTTGGAAGTGATCAGGATTTATTTGTTTTACACATGATTTTTACTTAATGAAATTTATTCATTCAGTGTGTATTGTTGTAATTAGCTGTGATTGGCCCTGGTACAGATGGACTGTGATTGGAGCAGAGTTGCTGGAAATTAGGATCACTCAACATCAAGAGTTCCCTGAGAGGACCACCTTTGCATCAGGGAAGGAGTCAGCCTGCAGAAGGCCTGAAGGCAACCACCACCCCAACAAAGGAAGAGTGAGAAATCCTACACGTCCTGGGCATTTTGGTGGGGAACCTGACTAGCTCTTTACCGGGGACTGTTTCAACTTAAAGTGGCAGGCACTGAATTCCCTTGCCCAGGGATTTCCTCCAAATAGCTGGATGAGAAGAGGATTCATCTGGGGTCTGGCGTGGTACACTAAGAGAGGCTGGAGAGGTCTCCAAGAAATAACTTTTTGCTGTAGAAAAGACTTACCGTATTTTTCGCCATATAAGACGCTCCGGAATATAAGACGCACCCAATTTTAAAGGAGGAAAATCTAGAAAAAAAAGATTCTGAACCCAATACATATAGTAATTCATCCCCCATATAGTAATTCATCCCCCATAGTAATTCATCCCCCATAGTAATTCATCCCCCATATAGTAATTCATCCCCCATATAGTAATTCATCCCCCATAGTAATTCATCCCCCATAGTAATTCATCCCCCATATAGTAATTCATCCCCCATAGTAATTCATCCCCCATATAGTAATTCATCCCCATATAGTAATTCATCCCCATATAGTAATTCATCCCCATAGTAATTCATCCCCCATAGTAATTCATCCCCCCTATAGTAATTCATCCCCCCTATAGTAATTCATCCCCCCTATAGTAATTCATTCCCCATATTGTGTCAATTCACTTACCTTTGCTCCGCCGTGTTCCCGAGCCGTTCTGGTCTTCAGGGCGGACTGTGAGAGGAGAGAAGTTAGTCACGCTGCCCCGCCTACATCCTGTCCGCCCCATAGTTTGCCCATTGCTGATCCACGAGCAGAGGGGGTGATGACATCAGCGCGCACCGCCGGGTGTACCAAGATGGCCGACCGCTCCAGAGATAGGCCAAAGCCGCGGCCTTTCCTACGGCCTTGGCCCTCGCCTCACGGATTCTCTCTCTATTCGTCGTATAAGACGCACCAACTTTCCCCCTCCCAGTTTTGGGGAAGAAAAAGTGCGTCTTATACGGCAAAAAATACGGTATATACAGTAGTTGCCAGGAAGATGTCCTCAGTTTACTGTTCCTTGGGCATCCCATACATCCCTTACTCCATCCAAGTTTAAATACCCTTAATAAAACTAAAAAAAAACAAAAAAAACAAATTCAAGGACTGTTTACTGTCTCTGGAATGCAAGTCTGGGAAAATGTGTGTTGCCTGGCTGCACAGGACCATAGGGGGACTCAAATCTTCAGCAACGCCTAGGGAAGTAGTGCTACATAAATCTGTTCACTTATATTTCTCTGTTGTTGTTTCCATCACATTTGTACCTTGATAAAGGAGACCTTCATGTCCCCAAAGTGTCGGTCTTGCTGTTGTTTCTATGTAAGCTATAAATTAAAACTAACTTTAAGTACATTTTGGAGTGCTAGTTCTTCATCTCTTATTGTCAAGGACAGAGCATTGCCCCCCTAAAATAGGAAGTGCCTGAACAAGGACCTTCATGGCAGGATCACCAGGTTTATTTGCAGTAAGCTGCAGATTCAATATTGAAAATTACATTTTAAATTACATAAACATGTTAAATCGTATATAAAATCTTAGTGATTGTCTTTACATTGACATACATCACAAATGGCTAAAAACAGCTGGAAATGGTTGACCTGGAAAAGCTGCAAACTGACAAATTTCCCTGGTGAACAAAACCATCAAGCAAGCTGTTTAAATGGGACCATAAAATGCCTCACAAAATGCACCATAAAGTTGGCATATGCAGCTATTAGACCTTATATAATCAGTCTCCACTCATTCTTGTTGCATGGGATGAGAAAAAACAAAGACAGGAAATAAAGAAAAAAAGAAAATTCACCCCAAAAAAGTAGTGTACGCAGCTATTTAACTTTTAGTCCTCATGCACACTGGGCATTTAAAAAACGCTGGTATCACTAGCTTTTTAAATTCACATTAAAAAGGCAGGGCTTTTCCGCATTTTTTATAATTTTTGCATTAGTGTTTATCCGCGTTTTTTTGCATTCATATTTTTTTAGAGTTTTTTACACACAAAAAATTTTTGCTCAAAAATGCCCAAAACCTCCATTTTGCCACATGTTCACACATTTTTCCATGTTTTTCCATGTTTAGCAGCGTAGGGCTCATTCACACTTGGCTTTTTTACCAACGCTTGCCAAACGCCCCTATAGCGTTTGGCAAGCGTTGGCCCGGCGTTTGCGGAGCGTTTTTTAATGCTCGGCAAACGCTGCATGCGCAGTTTAGCGGAGGTTGCTAGGCGTTTGCCGAGCGTTAAAAACGCCCCACAAACGCCTATAATGCAGTTTGAATGGTGTTACCGCTCCGCAAACGCCCCGCAACCGGCCGGGCGTTTGCCGAGCGGCACCATAGACTAGAATAGGAGGCTTTAACACCTCCTGACTCGACCAGAGGTGTCCGTTTTGCCGTGACGCAACACAACGCAAATGCTCCCGTTAGAACAGCACCATGTGCTGTAATGTGCAGAATTGGCAGAGGCTTTTGGGAAGCGGTAAAAACGCTTCCCAAACGCCTCTCTGCCGCCTGCACACAATGCTAGTGTGAACGTAGCCTTAGAGCGTTTTTTTTCCAGCCAAAAAACGTTGTTAAGTCTAGGTTGACACTTTTGCATTTTTTGCTGCGTTTTGCAGAAACGAAAAGCAGTCCATTTAACATGATTTCCTATGAGGCAGGTTCACATCTCCACGTTTTCACCTAGTGTGTTTTTTGGAAAGGGTCAGGGACTTTTTTTAAATGCAAAACGTTGCGTTTTTGGTTCTATAGAGTTCAATGGAGTTGCTGCAGAAAAGCTTGTAGTGGGTTTTTATGCATTTTTATTATGCGTTTTTGATGCGATTTGTATTTTATTCTGCCCAGCAACAAGTTGGAGAAAACACAAACCGCATCAAAAACATGGCAAAAACACAAAAATTACTGCAGAAACACATCAAACACAAACTGCATAGGTGGGAACCTAGCCTAAAGCCTATTTGTGCATGGACGCATAGGATAACATGCTGGGGAGTTTAGCAGCTGTAGAAAAAAATGCCAAATGCCAAAAATCGCAGCTGTAAAAACGCCCAATGTGCATGAGGACGTAAAAACAATCCCCCCCATGGCTCCAACTGCTAGCCCTATACAGCATGTAGAAAATCTGGAATACTCAGAACTGCTCTGTTTGTGCTATACACTAGATAAAGATAGGCAATACCCTCAGCTTTTCAGAATTCTACTAGTGAAGGTTGATTCATGATGAAATATGGTTATAAGATTATATCTAAGGGCTCATTCACACAGGTGCATTGATCAGCAGGCTCAATGCAAGGGCATATTGAAAACAATTGTTTTTTATGTGTCCCGTACACACCATACACATGTGGTGTTTTGTGCTGCATAAAAATTCTTTAGCACAATACACTGAACTGTATATCAACATGCTGCAGTACATAGGGTTCAATAACATGCCATATGTGTTGCATAGAGCATGCAGGCTGGTGTGAATGAGCCCTTACTGTTATGTTCTTTGGTATGTACACAGACATGAAATTTTGACAGCTACAAAACCTGTCTGTAATTTGCTGTAAGTATTCCTCAGCTTTCTGTTGTCTTCCTAACATTTGACCATCCTGGACATTGCAGCAGTTTTAGAGGCTGTATATTGAGAACGGACTGTAATGTAGTTTTTTTTTGTAGTTACTAGCAATAATGACTTGTAGTTTAAAAGTTGAACAACGAACAAAGCAACTCCTAAATCTGACAATTATTTTTTGTTCTTTCTAAGATTTTCAATGGCTTTAAATATGCCGTTAAATTCAGCAGCGTAGGCTGATTTTAGCCAGGCGCAGTCTCCTAATTGCAGATGGCCAATAAAATAGTATCCCTTATTCAGGCTTTATTAGTTTATAATATGTAATGTAAAACCCTGCTCTTTATAAACCAGCAGTAATCAGTTTGTAATCTGCAATACATTTTATTTTTCAGTGTATTTAAGTCAGCATGATGGGAAGCAATAGCAGAAGCTGACTCACATCTTTATCAAATGAATAGGAAATGAAAAGTAAATTAGTTCTAGATTTAAATGCATGGGAAATGCAGATTGCTTTGCATTTATATTTGATTTAATGAGAGATATCACGACCTTCCATTAATCAAAGTGTATTACTTAAAGCACCACTTACGCATACATTTTTAGCATGTCAGCACATTACTTGATATGTACAGTAGGTTTGTTGTTAAAGGTACTTTCCCTGTTTCCAGTGCTGACAAAGTACAGTAGAATAAATATTTGTTCAGGTAATCAGATACATATTTTGCCTGCCTATACGAAAGATCACCTTTTCTATAACAGGAACATATAAAGTTTTATTTATTTCTCCAGTGGATGTTAAAGTGAGACCTCGCTGCTGGACTGTGCTCAATACCCATCAACAGGCAATGGATTAGAGGCTGTTCACCAATGTCATTGTTTACTTTGAAAGACATATGTTCATTTTGCAAGCATGTTGTTAGTGAAGTTGTGTTCTACTTGAATACCATGACTCATGTTTAATGCAAAAAAAAAAAAAAGCCCAGGATTTTTGTAAGCACATAATTGAGTATTTACATTTAAAGCGACATTAAGTCTAATTTTCCTTTTGCATTAAACAGATAAAAAGAATATCACTTACATGTATTATCTTTTTTAATCAATTTCCTCCTCTGAGTTAACTTTTAAAGTTGTCCCTTAGGCCACTCCAACACACTCCCTGTTCTGTCTGCCCACTGTGCCCCCGGGACCTATGGAGTTCCATATGAGTCTCCTGAATGTGCACACTTTTTTCCTTGTACTACACAGAGCTTTTATTCAGCGGGAATGTGGAGGAATGCAGTTCCGGCACCTCCAGCACTGAAAGTATGTAATCACAAGGGATGCTGAGGTGTGCTGGAGGGTCTCTTGATGCTGGCTGCTGGGGGATCTATTGATGCTGGAGGGAATCTGTTGTTGCTGGGGTCTATTGTTACTGGTGGGGATTTTTTGTTGCTATGGGGTCTTATGTTTCTGGGGGGTAATTTGTTGCTGGGAGGGATCTATTGTTGAGGGAGGGATCTATTATCACTGGCTGCTGAGAATTATGTTGCTGCTGCCGAGGGTCTATTCTTGCTGGGAGTGGATCTATTGTCACTGAGGGGGTCTATTGTTGTTGTTCCTGGCTGTAGGGAATCTATTTTACTGCTTTTGTTGTTGTCATTAATAATTCCCATACAAATGAGTTAGCACCACAAAATTATACTTGGTTCTGTATTATATAACAAGGGCAATACTGGGTGGTGGGTAGAGTGTAGAACCATGGGACGGTGCTCAGAGGTGGGTAGAGGGTGGAAAAAAGGGTGACTGAGAAGAAGAGAGTTCCTGCACCTATTCTCTGACTAAAAAAGGCCTGGTACTACAACGCTACATGGAGAAGCTGTGGATGCCAGGCACACAGACAGCATGAACCCAGTGGCTAAATGGTTAGCACTTCCACCTGATAGCACTAGGGTCATTAGTTCAAATCCCAGCACCACCTGCCTGGAGTGTGCATGTTCTCCCCATTTCTGCTTGGGATTCCTCTGGATACTCCAGTTTCCTCCCACATTCCAAAGACATACTGGTAGGTTAATTGGATCCTATCTAAACTGGCCCTAGTATGTGTATGTATGAATGTAAGTTAGGGACTTTAAATTGTACACCTCTTGAGGGTTAGGGACTGATGTGAATGTACAATATATATGTAAAAGCACTGCGTAAATTGACAGCACTATTTAAGTACCTGAAATAAATAAATAAACCCAGCAAAAGCTGTGTGTGTGTCCTAATACTAAAGGATAGGCCTAATACTAAAGCATGTACTTTCACAGTCACATCAATGAGCCCACAAACCTTGCCAAGCTCCCCAACACTCTCTCAGAATATTAATACTCGTATTTGCACCAGATGTATGTATTCACTTATTATATAAATGCAGTTTGTTAAAAGTAGCCACTGCAACAACCAAACTTAGGTCAGGTAAGAGGTGGCATACATAGCATAATGATTTGTTTTCCAGACTATGCTATGTCCCTGAGCTCAGTAATTTCAGTCACTGGCCTACAGCATGCATTCAGTATTTTTGGCATGCATACGTGTTCCTGATCAGTGAGCAAAAGCAAATAAACTAGAGATTATCATTCTAGGCAGTGCCAAATGTATGGCTACCCTTCAGTCACTACTTTGTATCCACCCAGCTGAATTGCAGCTTCAGAACATTTTTTGTATTCACTTGTCATTCTATTCTTTGAAGGAATAGTTTTTTCAGTCTTCCTTGGCAAATGCTTCAAACATACTACTTCAGTGATGGCGAACCTTTTTGAGCCCAAGTGCCCAAACTGCAACCCAAAACCAACTTATTTCTTTCAAAGTGCCAACACTGCAATGAAACCTGAATATCGAGCTTTTGGTTTAGAAAAAACAACTCGTACAGTAGTGCAAACTAATTAACAGCTTTTGTCTTAAAAGAAAAACACAATAACAGAGCTTTCAATTATACAGGAGATGACCAGAGACTGCTGCGACACAGTACAGGAGATGACCAGAGACTGCGAACAGTACAGGAGATGACCAGAGACTGCGGACAGTACAGGAGATGACCAGAGACTGCGGACAGTACAGGAGATGACCAGAGACTGCGGACAGTACAGGAGATGACCAGAGACTGCGGACAGTACAGGGATGACCAGAGACTGCGGACACAGTACAGGGATGACCAGAGACTGCAGACACAGTACAGGAGATGACCAGAGACTGCGAACAGTACAGGGATGACCAGAGACTGCGGACAGTACAGGAGATGACCAGAGACTGCGAACAGTACAGGGATGACCAGAGACTGCGGACAGTACAGGGATGACCAGAGACTGCGGACAGTACAGGAGATGACCAGAGACTGCGGAAAGCACAGGGATGACCACAGACTGCGGACAGTACAGATGACTGCTGACCTTTGGGGAGGGAGGGAGAGCGGGTACCTGAATTTGACAGGTACCCGCTCTTACTTCCGCAGAGTTTTTTTTTTATCTTACCTGTTCCTTTATCCAGCCGCGCGCTGTCTTCCCGGCTTCTGTAGTGTGGGCGCTCGTCGGACAGCCGGATGCCCAGTGCGCATGCGCGAGAAGCGCTGCGCTTTGTGATTGGTCCGGCGGCTTCTGGGATCTGTCATGTGTCCCAGGTACCGCCTTACCATTCACAAAGAGCACTGCTTCTTGCGCATGCGCACTTGGGACCCGGCTGTCACGCACACTACTACAGAAGCCGGGAAGACAGCGCGCCGCTGGATAGAGGGACAGGTACGGTCCCACTGCAGAGCTGAGCGGCCGGCCCGGTATTCTCACACGGCGGCGGTGGAAATACCGGACCGGCCGCTCTATATTCGCTCCATAAGACGCACTGACATTTTCCCCCCTTTTTTGGGGGGAAAAAAGTGCGTCTTATGGAGCGAAAAATACGGTATTCTCCTGGCGTGCCCACAGATAAGGCTCGGCGTGCCGGCTGTGGCACGCGTGCCACGGGTTCGCCATCACTGTACTAGGTTGTCTTCCACAGCAAGACATCTACACCCAGATTTTCAGTTATATTCAAACCTAGTGAAAGTTAAAGTCAATCCAAGACCATGGACTTTGCTGGGTAAGTATGCTGTACTACTTGTAAGAATTTCAATTTTTCATTTTGAATTTTAATGTAATACTTTGGTTGTACAAAATCACCTTTAACCCTGGTTCACACTAAATGTGACATAGAAATTGTGCGACTTCACTTGAAAGCGCACAATTTCAAAGTTGCATGTCAATGCAACTTTAGGTGCAACTTTGCAGACATCTGTGCGACTTCATGCACAGATGTCTATGCAAGTTGCACCTGGAATCGGCAAAAGTAGCTCAGGAACTACTTTTCAAAAAGATGTGTCTCTAACTCTGAAGTCGGAGTCACATCACTTAGAATGGTCCATTGTCGATCATTGGATGCGACTTGTCATGTGATTTGAATGCTCAAGTCGCACGACAAGTCACATCAGTGTGAACTGGGGCTTAAAGATATATATATCACTACACACAGGCTCCTTGTCTCAAAAGAGAAAGAATTTTGTCAGACAAGGAGCCCAGCAAAAACCCTCCTATTAGGTACTAGGTACCTTGAGAGGTAGTGGCAAAAAATAATAAAACAAGGCGCACCATGATATATTTACTGTAAAATTACAAATGCATACTCACAAACCAAAAAGTCATAAAAACAGAGACAAGGAGCCAAAGATGACAATCGCAGACAGCAGAGGTCCTCGGGTAAAAAGTGCTAACGCATTTCGAGAGTCGAACTCCCTTCCCTGCTCTGAGGAATTTTACAATAAATTTCCTATATATCATGGTAATGCACAAGGAGAGTGTGCCCTGTTTTATTCTTTTTTGCCCGTGTCAAGATTCCCCGATCTATCAAGGGCGGCACCTCAGCGAGTGCTAGATTCCGTGTTTTCTGTGCAGCATGCAGATTTGAGCGCTGGTTTCTGGTATCTGTTGGAACCTTCAGAGACAGTGAATGAGGCTTGTAGTGTAGTGGAAGTTAAAGGAAAAGTGGGGGATTATTAAAATATAACACATTTGCATACTCACTTCCATGCTGCAGCGTCCTTGTCTCTGCTGCAGCTGTCCTAAACCTGTTTTAAGACTGAGAACTGAGCAGTCTGGAGAACAATGACTGTCAGTCACTGCTTTACACACTGCAATGGGCAGGACAGCTTTGGGTCTAAGCTGAAGGTGGAAGGTGGAACCAGCTATCACTCAGGCCAGGTGGATCCTGACAATATTGTTGGGATCCTTCCCAAGCCTGATGTAGCTCTGCTCCATCTGCTGATATCAGGCAATAGCCCACTATCAGCTAACTCTGGGTCGCAGGAGAACAATAATAAATGTACTCCTGTCATACGCTTTTAACCCCCTTTGTGAGCTTAACCACTTCCCGTCCGGCCCATGTATATAAACGGCCGGGCGGGAGCATTGCAGGAACGGGTGGCCATTTATAAACGGCCTCCCCGCTCTCCGCTGTGCGCGCTCCCTGGGAGTGCGCGGCACCGCGATCCGGTGCCCGCTGTGTCTGGAGCGAACACTGATCGCTGTACGGAACCTCTGTGTGAGGTCCTGATCATGTGATCACTGATTAGCCAATCAGTGATCACATGAATAGTAGTAAACAAGATGTCACTTCTGACATCATTGCTTGCTACTTGTGAAATCTGTGAATGCTCACAGAGGTCACATGATACAAGGCTATTCACAACAGCCTTGTACCATGTGACAAGCTGTGACCAATCACAGCTCACACAATATTTCTCAATGGCTGCAAAAATGCAGCCAGAGAAAAGGAGAGATTATTGCTTTTACAGGCTTTATGGGTGTAAAAGCGATCAGCGTAAAAAAAAAAAAAAATCTTCATCACCACCCACAAGTAGTACAGTGTCACTAAACAAAAGATAAATAATAATATAAAAAAAAAAAAATAAAAATGTAAAAAAAAAAATTAGAAAAATTATCATTTTTGGTTATAAACTAATTTGGGTTATTTGTTTTTTACAAAAAAGATAGAATACGTTTTGGCCAAGATTTATGAAGAAAGATTATTTATTTGCAAAATTTTTGAAGAAAAAACACTTTTTTCAAAATGTTTCGACGTTTTAATTTATATAGCAAAAAAATAAAAATCCCAGTGGTGAATAAATACCACCAAAAAAAAGTTTTATCTGTCTCAAAAAAAGGCAAAAAAATTCATATGGATACAGTGTTGCATGACCGCGCAATTGTCATTCAAAGTGTGATAGCGCTGAAAGCTGAAATTGGCTTGGACAGGAAGGGGGTGAAAGTGTCCGGACTTGAAGTGGTTAAGTACTAAAATCATGTGAGAAGGCCAATGAACTTGGATGTAAGCCCATAATGGAGCCATAGGATTTGTAAGGTTTTCTTGAAGGGAACAACAAGTGAGTAGAAGGCTGGAACATAGCAGGAATTTTCTGGAGAAATTAGGAAGAATATATCCAGAAAAAGCGTCCACCAGAGAGTGAACAAAGTACTGTATATACTAGAAGACAGAGCAGGCAGAATGCCATAGCTGGTAAAGAGCAAAGAGAGACAAGAGAGCTCTAATGAAATCAACTCAGGGAAAGATCACAAATAGATTGATGGCATACGTCTGTCAGAATACTTAGCAAGTGAGCACTTTTATTATTTCCTATATAAACCAGCTCAGAAAGACTGGCTTGAACACATCCTGCAGCTGTATTTTGTACAAATAATATCATCACAATGAGTTCTTGTTCTGAGGACTTTTACAACTGTATTTTTGTCAAAAAAGAGTTACCAATATCCACTGTGAAAAAGAAGGATGACAAATGTATTGAGTATGTGAAAAGTCACAAGTAAACTGTTACTGATAAAAAAGACATTGCTTGTTTTGCAGTGTACTTATAAGAGAGGCTAACTGAATGCAGGGATAACGTGCTTTACTTTGGGCACCGCCAGAAGGCTTCAGAGCTCCATCAGGCTAGTGTAGACCCACACTCCCAGAAGGAGCAACGACACAAACAGCCCTCATGGCCAGGGGTGGACTGACAACTCATGGGGCCCCCTGGCAATAGGGGATCATGGGGCCCCTGTGTCCTTGCCCAAACTCAAAAAAGCCTATGAAAAAGGTACCAGGGGCATCTCATGGGGCCCCCTACTGACCCCGGGCCCTCGGGCAGCCCGGGTTTCCAAATGGTCAGTCCGCCCCTGCTCATGGCCATGGTGCATAATTGAGCCATAAAGAAACCAGTCCCCAGTAACACTGCCTGGTGGTTGGCTCTCGTCCTTCCCACATATTTTAATCCATGTGCACACTCACTCCATCAGGTATAAGCCACATTATTTTGAAAATAATTAGTATTCTGTATAACTACAGGAATTGCATGTATATGGATGGATATTTGAAGGCAGGGTCCCCTTTAATGGTTTCACTATGGGGCCTTGAGAACCCACCACCCTGTTAAATCTATGTTACTTAAATCTCATATAAGCTGTAACATATTAAAGTGAATGTAAAGGATATATATATTTTTTTTTTTTTTTTTTTTTTTTATAGCAAACATTTTATACTTACCTGTATGTGCAGTGAGTTTGCACAGAGCAACTATTTGATCACTGAAAAAAAAATATGGGCTCACTTTACTAAGCCATATTGCATGTGAAATGTTCCATAAGAACCATTATTTTCAGCAATGTACTGGCTTACTGCCAGCATAGGTTTTCTTTGGAGAGCATAACTGTTGTGACATCATCACCATCATTTAGGAAACTGAGCTTTGTGGCTAATTAACCACAGTAAGGCATTGTGATGTGCAAAATATGTTTATCTAACAGCTAATCAGACATCATCCCTTAAATTATATGTAAACCTAATCAGAATTTTATATAAGTTTTAACACAATGTAAATTCTACAGTAATTTTGAATATTTCTGAATCTACAGCTTTAATTTAAATAGTGCATGTTTGGGCACAGTGCGCTATGGAGTAACATCCCTGTCTCAAAATTGTGCTTGTGCATTGTCACCTTATCAAACATGCTTCCAGTAGAAATTAAACACATGGGGGGGATTTACTACAACTGGTGCACTCAAAATCTGGTGCAGCTATGCATGGTAACCAATCAGCTTCTAACTTCAGCTTGTTCAATTAAGCTTTGGCAATAAAACCTGCAAGCTGATTGGTTTCCATGCAGAGCTGCACTAGATTT